TCAAAAATTGGTTATCATCACTTTTTTTTCGGTATGTTGTCTCACTCAATATCTTATTAACAGCATCAGTATTTGAAGTGGGTGTATTTAAGTTCTTAGTACCGTTGTTATTCATGTTTTTATCGCCTTGAAAAGTCTCAGAGCCACTCAGTATGTTGTTTGCGGTGGTGTCAACATACTCGATATTACTGGCATTTGTTGAACCTGATGGATCCCAAAGATTAACAACCTTTTTACTGTTCATATACAAAGTACCTGTCATTATCTGAGTTCCATCAAATAATAAAACAGTCAAAAGGTCTGCAGAATCACCACTACCAGATGGCCCCTGTGGTCCTGTATCACCTTCATCACCCTTAGGTCCTTGTGCTTCAGTGTCCCCTTGATCACCTTTTCGACTTCTAACACCAGTGTCATTTTTATCACCCCTAGGATCTTGAAGACCAGTATCTCCTTTGTTACCTTTTGGACCCTGAAAACCGGTATCTCCTTTTGGTCCTTGTGCTACAGTATCTCCTTCGACACCTTTAGGACCCTGAGACCCATTAGCACCACTACCAAGTGGCCCTTGCGCACCAGTATCACCCTTGAAGCCTTGTGCACCAGTATCTCTCTGGTAACGTTTAGCCTCCTGGTGCACCAGTATCTCCTTTTAGACCTGATTCACCTTTGTCTCCTTTTGGACCAGTATCACCCCCTTATCACCTTTTGGTACTTGTGGCTCTGCTGCTTCTTCAACACCTTCTACAGTTGTATCTATTTTTCTATGATCTCCTGCAAATATATCCATTATAGTGGAGCTCACAGCGCGCGCAGCAAAGCCCCATAATTATACAAAATAGCAGTAACCCATCAAGCCGAAAAAATTTAGACTTGACACCGTACAGGCGTCTGTATAAGGTACTACTTTGAGCAAGCGCAACTAACTACATACAGGCACTATCTTTGCCATTACATAATAAAAGGGCGAAGGGGAAGGTAGTGCGCAGGCGTGATTGTGCGCGTAACTAGGATACCTCATTAGTGTGCACCAGGAAACACCGACAGATCACTATGAAGTGTGCATACTCAAGTGCCGAGCTTTAGTGCAGCGTACAGTGGGCACACGGTTAGGTATCACTGAAGGGGTTCACGTGGGCTTGTAGATGTGAGGCCACATGAGCAAATAATTTGCAACACGCGTTTTGAGCGGGAAATCAAATTGAGGTGATTGTAGTTGAACAGTAATTCTCAGTATTTTGGATTTTTTTTTTATCAACTCGCAAAGCAGCAATACTGGCAGAGCTAAAGCTTTGTCAACCACGGGAAATTTTTATAATTCAAGTCTGTGGAGACAGGTTTTTGAGTGAAAAATAGGCTGGAAAGAAATAGACAGAGCAACCGAAGAAAGCAAGAGGTAAAAGGCGTCAAGTGAGTCGAGAAAAACGCGCAATAAAGTTAGAAAGGACGTTAAAACAAGCAGAAAACGGCAAGATGAACGCGAAAGAGAACAATAAAAGGCATATCTAAAAAGGCGAATATTCAGCGAACCGTAAGGTGAGAAGGAAATACAAAGAGCTCCAGAAAACAAACTGAAAAGGGGTCATCATCAGAGAGAAGCGAACCACAAAGGTTCTGAGAAAGAAGAGGAGGTAAGTCGTGTCTCATCTAGGTTTCCTCTCACGCTAAGACCCAGAAAAATTCAAATCTTTTTTCTCAATCTTCCTTTGATACTAGCTTCAGTTTACAATTCAAATTACGTTTCGGTAAAACAGTGACGTTTGTATTCATTGCTTTAAAACCCTCGCGCCGGTTCATCGCTCGAATAACATTTCAAAGTGTTCGTATTCTTAAGATTATTTCTCGTCTTACCTTTTGGAATGTTTAATACCGTCGTGGTGTTTAGGGGAGGAAAGTTAACTTATGAATTATGTCTTTCCCTGAAAGTTTTTAAAATGATAGCGAACGGCATGAGAAAGTTTCTATCATTCTCTCTTCAGTTAGCTATCGCATGGTTTAAATTATTCATTTAAAAAATCGCACTTTGTCGAAGATTTGCTGTTTTACTCTAAGAACGATGTGATAGCTTTTCCCAAAATTGAATATAATGAGATTGAGTCAGCGATGTTCATGTTTACATTAAGTCTGACGCGGTAATTTGATTTTGAAAATATTGTCATGAGAAAACCCGTCAAACATCTGAGAATTAAGTTATCGTGCGCGAAATGTGTGGTGCAAACAAACTCATAGGTAAAATGGTATTCATCCTACCATGCGAGGAGTGAATGTCATTGTTTGGTTATGGCCCTTTTTAGCGCTGTTATCACGCTTTTTACTCGATTCATACGAACTTGAAGAAATGGTTTGTCTCAAAAAAATATAGCCACTTTCTCTTCGCTCGACATCTCGAGGTATACCTAATGCTTGGGTTATGATAAACATGCTTCCAATATGATAAATTTTTCCTAGTGCTGGAAACTGAAGAATCCATCTCTAAAAATTGATAGTCATCACATTTTTCAAGAAGCTTCCGAGCTGTGATCGTGTAATTGAATGGGCTCCTGGCAATATGAGCTCACAAGCACGCTGGTAATGACATGGTTAGCATAAATAATTGTTGTTTACAGTTGTCGAATTCGAGTTTTTGAAAGTCTGTTTCTGTGACCTTCCTGGATATTTTCTGTTGAATTCATTGAGGTACAATCTCGGAATTTCATAAGTGATTATGAACAATAAATTCTTATTGGCACCATAATTTTGGGGAGTTATGTTGACACATTATCAGTTTACAACTTGTGAACCAATTCTGTAACCTGCTTTGATATTTTCTTTTGAATTAATCGAGTCACACTCTCGGAATTTTAATCAGTAATTAGGAACGTCCGTATATGTAGCACAAGTGACGCACATTATAAAATTTCCATACGATTTTAAGAAACTATACTTAATTCACTCTTGATAAATTAACCTTGCATACCTTGCTTTGCGCACCTTCTATGACAATCTTATGAGTGACATGAGGTCTCTTGCCACACTGGATCTTCCCACAACCAGGTATGGAGACTTTTATGTTCCAATATTGCTTGAAAAGCTCCCAGAGAAGCTGTTAACCAATATTTTGAAAGAATATCCATGTGCTAATCCCACCATTGATCAACTAATTCTGATGATACACAATGAAGTTAAAAGGCTTGAGCAAGTTGCCTATATTAGTAATAACAGCCAACCACGCAAACCCAAACCTCCGCCTCCTCCAAAGCCTCCAATGCCCAAGGTTCTTCCTTTCAATAGTGTCTTGAGTGAAACAGTTCCACTTGGTACAGCAACTGCACTTCCTGCAGCAGTAACTCCTTCTGATCAGTCTAAATCGAAGAAGTTTAAACAGTTTAACAGGCCAAAGAAAGTTCCATGTCGCTTCTGTGGGCCTACCAGTACCCACAACACATTTCAATGTGAACTCTCTATCCGGGATAGAATCTCTGCAGTTAAATCCAAGTAGTTGTGCTTCAATTGTCTCAAAGGGGGTCATGCTACTACCCAGTGTCAATCGCAGTTCAGATGTTCAGTTTGTCGGCAACCCCATCACACTACACTTCATGGAGCTTCAGGTCTCCAATCATCATTGAGTTCCCCTCCTGCATCAGTCAGTATCCATGCTGCACCTGCTTCAGGAAACACACAGCATGGTGAACCAACCACCACACCCACCCTCCCATCAAGCTTTGCCTGCCACAACTCTGAGAATGGGGTCAATCAAAATGAGACTTTGTACTCATGCCCTTCAGAGTACAACACCGTGACCTCGTGCCACAGTCAGCCAAACCCAATTATTCTGAAAACTGCGGTCACTTCAGTCAACAATGGTGAAATCAATACAATACAATACAATACAATACTTTATTCAAGAGAAGGAAAATAAAAATTGTAAAAGTATCTCTCGAAAGGGGATATTCTAGAGGTTAACCCTATATAAAAGATCCCCCAATAAAAAGATCAAAACATTATATACAGATAATTAAAAACTGTTTACCATCATCTCAATCAATATTCATGTAAATCTTTAGTCTGTTACGAAATAAATTCAATGATCCTGCGTGTACAATATCTTTAGGCAAATTATTCCACATATTAACGATCCGTACAAAAAAAGAAAATTTGTAGCAATTTACGATAGCTATTTTTACGTAGAGCTTATAATCGTGATTGGCTCTAGTTCGATTACATTTAGAAAGTTCAAAAAAGTCCGAAAAATGAAGACTATCTATTTCCAGAACTATCTTGTAGCACTGGATCAGAGATAAAAACTCTCTTCGTTTCTCCAAAGTTTGCCAATTCAGTAGGCGGCAGCGGTCTTCATAGCTCATTTCTCCGCGTTTTTGCTTTAATGCCAACCGAGATGCCCTTCTTTGGACTTTTTCCAAGGATTCGATATCCTTTTTTTGGTAGGGGCTCCAGACGGGGACAGCGTATTCGAGTATAGGTCTTACTAACGACTTAAAGAGGCAGGAAAACGCATAGCGATTATCGTTTCCAAGTGATTGCCTAATTATACCCAACACTTTGTTCGCCTTGTTTACTATGTAGGAAACGTGTTTACCCCAAGATAGATCGTAGTTTATTGTGACCCCTAGGTCCTTGGCACTGTCGACAGATTTTAGTTGCGTACCAAGGGAATAACTAGGCTTGGATCTGTCTCTACTGTGCGTTACACGCATAACTTCACATTTTTCAGGATTAAAGCGCAACTGCCACTTGTTAGCCCAATCGCTTAATTTGTTCAAGTCCAGCTGTAAGGCTGGTATATCCTTATCAGGCTCCATGATCTTGCGATAGATTTTAGTATCATCAGCGTAGATTTTCACGGTTGATGCAATGTTTGCCGAAATATCATTTATATAAATAATGGAGCTTAGCCAGCTAAGGAACTCTGCATTAAACCTCACTGCAGTAAGACTGTGCGTATTAACACATTTGGTGGGGCTACATCCAATAATACGTACCCAGTAGGATCAATCAACATCATGACAGATGAGGGAGCAATCAGTGTAGACACTCTCATGAAAGATGTTATCATCACTCCCATGGATCGCACCAGCTGGGCCAAAAGCCTCAAATCTCCTCACATCACCAGTCTTCAACTTGCAGATGATTTCAGTCAGACCCAATTTCCTGTTCAAATTCTTATTGGTATGGATACAGTGTGGCAGTTCCTGAAACCTGATGTCATCTATGGCTACCCTACTGTTCAAGCGTCTAGTCTGGGATATCTAATCTCTGGAAGACTCTTTCCTAGCACTGACAGTACTAGTACCAATGATTCCCAAACAGCTTCACAGTGTTTTGCAGCAGGTCACTCCCTTGACAGTTTCCCATTTGATGACAGTGAATGGTTTTGTTACACTCGTGCAAAGGATCTTGAGGTGCACAACAAAGTTGCAGATTTCCTCAAAATTGAAACACTAGGAATAGAGGACCCCAGGGATACCAGTCAAGAGGATGATTTCCTAGAACGCTTCCAATGCCAAATCACATACCGGGATGGAACCTACTTTGTTCCACTGCCATGGTTGGACAATCACCCTCCACTACCTTCGAACTTCAACCTTGCTCACAGCCGTCTGCAACAAGTAAAGAAGAGGCTCCTCAAACTGGATCTTTGGAAATCTTATGCAAGCATCATTGCCGACCAAATTGACAAAGGTTATGTGGACGCTGTCCCTACCAGTGAAGATCCCTTGAGTAAGAGTGATGCTCATTATCCCAGTCACTTCTTCGTTCTACGTCCAGAGAGCAAAACAACACCCGTTCACGTTGTATTTCCAGCCAATGCAGGCCATGTCTCTCTGAACGATTGTTTATACACCGGTCCCTGCCTTCTCAAGTCATTGAACACCATCATTCATCGCTTCAGAGCTGACAAGTATGCCTTTGTTGCTGACATTGAGAAAGCCTTCATGAGAATCAAAATTATTGAAGAGGACCGTAACTATGTCCGCTTTCAGTGGTTTGAAGATGGGGACCCAGACAAACCAATTAAAGTTTACCGCTACACATCTGTCTTCTTTGGAGGAACAAGTTCTCCATTCATCCCTAACTCTACAATTCTTCATCATCTTTCTAAGTATGAGAAAGATCAAGATCCAGTTGTTCAATTTGTTTCTCAAGACCTTGACGAGAAGATTTACTGTGACAATGTACTTACTGGAACAGATGATGAGGACACTGCCATTCAGTATTACAACATCTCAAGGCAGGTTATGAAGGATGCTGACATGAATCTCCGCCAGTGGTTTACAAATTCGCCAGAGCTGACCACCATTATTGACAAGATAAGGACTGGTTCTCAGAGAGATCACGCTGGCCTGTTAGGCATGATGTGGAACCCTAAGGAAGACACGTTACAGTTTCCACGGAAAGCTATTGTCATTCCTCCTGACGTGAAGTTCACGAAACGACAAGTCCTCAGTTCTGTTTCATCAACATTTGATCCTATTGGCCTCATCTCCCCAGTCCTTGTTCCAGCCAAGAAATTCATTTCATCTCTGTGGGATAAGGGATTTGACTGGGACGAAATTCTCCCTGATGAACTCCAACAGCAGTACAACCAAATCGCCAAGGAAATAGAAGCAGCTTCAACATTTGTCACCTCACGTTATTTGGACTTTGACAAAGCCTTACCAGTAGAAATGCATGTATTTTGTGATGCATGCCCCACTACTGCAGCTGGTTGCTGTGTCTTCTTTGCTCAGAATCAGAAGGTCAGATTCATTGGCTCCAAGGTCAAACTTTCCTCATCTAAACATGCACGAACAGTTTCCCAGTGGGAATTAATTGCCATGGTAATGGGTGCTCGCCTTGGTCGCATAAGAGAAATTTTCAACAAGGATTTCCCATTCATCTCATCCTACTACTGGACTGACTCCACCATCTGTCTCTATTGGCTGTACAGTACCAAGCAACTCCCAGTGTTTATTCGCAATCAGACAACAGAGATCTTGAGGCTTACTGACCTATCCAGCTGGTCCCATGTCAGTTCAGCAAACAATCCTGCAGACATACTCTCCCGTGGATGCAGTGCGGATGAGCTCCTACAATCAGCACTATGGCAAAGAGGTTCCATGGTTAACAGCCCATTCACTCTGGCCAAGATGGAGTCCTAAGAGCTTTGCAAAAGATGATGTTGTCTAAGCCACAGCTGTGGACAGTCATGTTCCTGGTAAGCAGTCTAACACAGGCAGTCTCCAAGACTTTATTGACATCTCACGCTTCCAGTCCTACGAAAACATGCTTCGCACGATGTCTTATGTCTTGGGATTCATTTCCAACCTGAAGCATGCCTCTGGTAAGTCACATGGGTCACGCCAATGCCCATCAGTCATTGACTTGGTAATTCCAGTTCCCACAGCTGCTGAAATATCCCAAGCAGAAGTCGTACTTCTTCGTGCTCACCAGATTCAGCATTTCAGGCAAGATCGAGACTATCTTTGTACAAAGCAGTCATGACCCACCCGTCAGCACTTCAAACCCAGACCTCAGTTGGTTCGTCAACTTAATCTGAAGCTCAACTCAAATGGCCTTCTAGTTGCCCCCGGCAGACTCGAGCATGCAATGCTCAAACAAGATGCAAGAGAACCAATTCTGCTTGTTCGTTCAGTTCATGAGAGACAGCTCCACGCTGGAGTAAGAGACACTGTTGTAGCACTGCGTAAGAGATTTTGGTTGCCATCAGCACGAAGTGAAATTGCAAGGGTGCTCAAGCATTGTTTCAAATGCCGATACCAGATAGGGGGAGCATACAAGCTACCCCATTCACCCCCCTTGCCTGACTTTCGCCTCAACAAGGTGAAACCATTCTCTACAGTGAGGATTGATTTTACCGGCCATCTGATGGTCAAGAATGGTAACAAGACAGAGAAATGTTATGTCTGCCTGTTCACCTGTAGCACCACTCGGAATGTAAATTGGAGATTGTTGATGACATGACGACCGATCAGTTCCTTCTTGCATTCAGGCGTCACTGTGCCATCTATGGAACTCCTTCACTGATCCTGTGTGATAATGCCAAAACATTCCAGAAAGGGGATGAAGAAATTCAGAAGTTGTTCCAAGTCATAGAAGATCAAACCGTGCAGCATCACTTTGCCCAGAAGAGAGTTCAGATGAGGCATATTCCTGCCAAGTCACCGCACTGGGGAGGCATGCATGAGCAACTGATTGGAGTAGTTAAGTTGTCAATCAAGAAAGTTCTTCATCGCGCGCTCATTAGTCTACCCGAGTTACAAACACTCATCAAAGAGGTTCAAGTAGTTGTGAATGATCGCCCAATCACATTCGTCTACCATGATGTGAATGATCCAGAGCCCTTGACACCGTCAAAGTTGCTGTGTGGGTTCGATGTTACAGCTTTGTCACACCCTGTTGTTGATCCTGATGAGTTGGAGGATGAAAACTTCAATGAACATGATCAACTCAATAAGGCCTTCAAATGACGCTCATTGCTATTTCAGCACTTTGTCCAATGGTTCAAGAGTGAGTACCTTGCTTTGCTGCGGGAGCGTCATGTGTATCAGTCTAAGAAGCGAGGATCGCAGGAGGAGATCATTAAAGTCGGGGATGTCGTACTTATGCACGCTGAAAATGTTCCTCGTAGTTCCTGGAAGTTAGCCATTGTAAAGAAAGTTCTCCGTGGCAGTGATGGCTTAGTTAGAGCGGCAGAGATCAAAACAAACTCCGGAGTCACCAACCGTTCAATACATCTCTTGTATCCCTTGGAAGTCACACTGACGGATTCTAAGGAACACTTTACAGGAACTGAACTGCAGATTCCACAGGTCGAAACACTCAGAAGAAGCAAACGAATTGTTTCACGCCTCCGCCCCCAGTATGTGGAATCTGGTGACTAGTAGTTTAAAACGCGCTCGACTGCACGAGAGAACCGCCATGTTGGAACTTGGACTCGTTATGTACTCGTGTTTTACTATGCGTGGCCGTCCCGTTTTGTTCTGTCACTGTTAGAAGTTTGTGATTAAGTATCCGTCGATTAAAGTCAATTAATTCAGTCTTGTGGTTTACACATAATTCTCCTTACTGTCTGCCATACAATCTATGTGATTTAATTTAGTTTGTAGAATTTGGACTTGGATCAACCATCAATTCCCTAATTGATATTTTTCTGTATTCTACTTGATATCATGCTGATAGTGTAAGGAGAATTTCTGTCTTAGTCACTAGTGGGAGGAAAAGGGTCAAAATGGAGGATTTAATGACATTGTAATGTTTAAAATTTTCTTATCTTTCAAATGTAACAAAAAATGTGATGAGAATCTGATGTTCTGAAACAATTGAAAAACCTGTGCTGGTAGCTTATGACTGTAATGTTTAAGTGTTCATGGGTGATGCTTTTCTTCAAAAGCAAGGATACAGAAGTTTTCAAAGCTGATAGAAATAAGCTGTTTGCAAGTAGTGAAAATCAAATCGACAATCCTACCTTAGTGCTTGACATACATATATAAAGCTGATTAGATGATGTCTTTACCCCTTTACACCCTAACATCAGTATGCATTTTCTCCGTACTGTCCTAAGTGTGCCAGCAAGGAGAATTTGTTTAACAATCAAGAGCTTCTTCAGTTGATTATCATTTCCTTTATTCTCATGACCTTAATGCTTGATTCAGGGATGATATTGAAAAGAGAAATTAGATGCTAGTCACTCTCAGGAATTAAAGTGTTAATTACTGTAAACATTTGTTAGCAACAATAGTTAATATTGTTCAGCAAGCAAACAAATAAATGAACAGAAGACAGTAAAACAAGGTAAACTGTAAACTCAGTTTACCATATGATAGAAGAAACATCAGAATACTTAAGAAGGGAAACTTGGATTTTGCTAGGTAATTTCCCCCATTGCCCTTCATATTTTTTATTCAAATAAAATTTAATCAGTAGTAGGGTTTGCCTGCTATGTGTCAAATTACCAGTGTGGACTTGATTCTTCTCAGATGTCAGCTGGTAAAAGATAGATACTAAGAATAGTTGTCCATATGAAAAATTACACACCCTCAAAATAATCACACTGAAGTGGTGGTGTGGTTGATTTGTGATATTTAGAACAACAGATTTTGGATTCTACATTCAAACTGAGTGAGATTAAATTAATTCATATCATGCTTCATTATGGTTTGTTTGCATGCAAAGGTTTTTGTTATTAGTCTACAGATGTTTTGGTTGCCATCTCAATTAACCCTTTAACTCCCAGATCAAATTTATAATTCTCCTTATTATCAACCCTACAATTCTTACAATGTTAGTTGAGAGAATTTAGAAGAATTGATATTGTAGAGAAAAAATTTTTCTTGGTCACTCATGGGAGTTAGAGGGTAACATTCATGACAAAGTTTCATTTAACTCGCTGTTACAATATGTACAATTTGATTGACAGCTTACCTTATTTGGTTATTGGCTTAATTAAAAATATGCAGTGATTTCACTGCTAGTAGTCGCGTGCCTCCAACATGGCGTGTTGAGTTTCTTGTAGTATAGAACAACACGAAACACTCGCAATAGCTCATTAGTAATTCTCCTTATTGTTTGCCACATAGTTCTTTTGATGCTAGTTTTGAGAATTTTGTATTGGATCAACCAATTATCTACTAATTACTATTTTTATTTATTCTCATTACTTGCCTGATTGATATCGTATTGATATTGTTAAGAGAAATTCTTTCTTGGTCACACATGGGAGTTAAAGGGTTATAGGGAGCAGTTTATTAAAAAAATTATAACTTTTCATTTAGGTGATTATTTGTATATGTGAGTAACATTTGATGTTTTCACATGTAACAGGATGATCAAGTTGAAGATAGCCTCAAAAAGGAGTGAAATCCACTGCAACTGAGTAGGGTAACTGATTTGGAAACTTGAGCACTTCGTAAATACACCTCAGCTTGCAATTCTGATGATTAAAGTTTGCTGGGGTAATTGAGATGTTAGTCCCCATGCAGGAACATCCACATGACCAGTCATATGCGATGAGATAACTTTTGAGAAATGCATTTGTGTCAGTAGAAGTATTTTATGTTCAGTACCACCGAGTAACAAAAATGAATGATTTCCTGTAGGCATGAACGTTTGGGAAAAGGTATGGTGGTAATTGACTTTTTTTGCCAAGATGCATAGGGTGTGATGATTGTAACGTATATTCTTTAGCTTTCAAACTTTCAACTTTGCATTAATTGTAATTGTTTACCGTGTCTATTTCTCAAAAGTTGAGGTGGGTGGGTCAGTAACCTGACTTCTTTTCTTTGGAATTGTGTGATTATTGTAACATGTAATATTATTATTCAGATTGCATTTAATACTCGTGCTCAAGCTTTCATTAATGCATGGTGTTTCTTATCTCCGGTTTTTTCTTGAAGACATCTACATTATATGCAGTTACACAAGAGGTTACCAAATTAAACAACAGAAAATATCAGAAAAAGACATCTTGTATTTCCAGCCAGAGGACAATCATGAAACTAGCCAAAAGCGAAAAAGTTTTAAAAAATTACAGTTTCAAACTTGAGTTTAAAATTAATTTTCTTTTTAATTTTCCACGCTAAACAGAGGAGGCTGAAATGTTAGGGAGAACGGTGGGGCAAGCAGTCATACCTGCCAACTTCAATAGAAGATATAAGAGAAGCCCATACGATTCTGGCGTGTTGTTTTACTGATCACTGTGCTCACGTGCAAATACTCCAGTCCACTAGTGATGTCTGAATGCAAAGTTGTTTACCATCATTTCTTTCAATTTTGGCCCAATTTTGGCCCATTTCCCAACCGAGATTACAATTCACGCTTAATAGAATATAATTTAAACTGATGCTGTCATCATACACTTCATCTGAAGAAGATAATATTCCCAATCATCGAATATTTGCTCAAAACATCAGGAACAGTTCGTCAGTCGTTTGAAGATACAGCTGACTAGCATGCGTGTTTTGAGAACATCGTCCCCAGGTTCCAGACCTCGTCTGGCCTTTAATAAGAAGCTCTTCTACAGCCTGTGCGGACAAGTGTTATTACAGTTTTTATTTATTATAATAAAGGGCTGGAAATAAACTAATAAGAGCTCCACTTTTAGGCTTGGCTAAATCTATATATTAATAAATGCTTATACAAAATACTGTTTATGAATTTCCACGATAAGCACAACCAGTATGGGAAAACACTTTTACGACATTTCAATATGTGGTCCCCCTACTGTCGTCATCCATGTAATACAAACAATAGTATCCACGTAAGACACTGAACAAATCTTGATACTGTGTACTGTTTTACACATAATTGAGATTTAATCGATTTATAACTTCATAAACTCTTTTGTACCAAAGGTATTCAATTATCTCTTTTGATGTTTGTAACAACCCAATGATTACCACCATCCACACTGTCATCAAGATTGATAACATAGTATCCTATCCTATGTTTATAATTTATTTAATCCCTGAAAAAACACACCCATAAACTGCTTTATCCCCATTCACTTTACTCAGTGAATTATATCATAATTGAACAATGCTTTATTAACAAAATTGCACTCACTAAAGGAACTCGGTTGAATGGTGAGTTTTTCCTCTACAGTAGTGCTTTTCCTTAGGTTGTCTTTTTTGTTTTGCTTTTGTTAGAACCAGCACCTATGGTACCTGCGTTATTAGGCCAACTATGGTGGTAGTGCTTGAGGATACACTTCTCCCCCTTTAGATCAACTACCTACAAATGGAGGTAATGTATATGGCATCAATAACTTTTATATGTTGTAATGTGCACGCCACTACCATCCGATTTTGGTGGTGTACGAGGTGGTGGCAGTTGATATCTCTATCAGCCATGAAATCCATTCTTTACTAGTCTAGATCAGCGAAACGCTCCATACTGTCCAGTGGTTTACTACGCAAAAATCGTGTTACCGTAATCGTTAATCCGCGAGCCTACACAATGTTCAATCCTTTAGTTTCCCGTAAGTTCCTTGACAAATGACACTTCAGAAAATGGTCCTTTAGCTGTATGCAAGCAAATCATGAACAAAGCGGAAAAAAAGGCCCAGCACTGCGCTGAGGTTTGACCTGGACTGGAATGAACCACCTAACCGAATATGCTCCGATGGACTGGTCTGAATACACAGGATAACCAATGTCAGAAACTGGCATTGGAAACATTAGAAACATTGGAAACTCCCCTTAAATGTTCATCATTTCGACCCAAACAGATTTTTCTCTAAATCGTTCAGTGTACTTAAATATGCTAAATGTTCCGTGTATCATGATTGTCATTCAGAAAACAGTTCCTTTGGCTCCTCGTCGGGGATTTCCGGTATTTCCTCAGGTGACTCTAAGAGCAGTACGAGTTTCTTAACTGGTTGATCCAACATTGACCCAGTTGCAGATTGGACAGTCACGGACCTGACTTACCCATTGTTATTTCGATCTGCAACAGGGACTCTAGCCATGGGCCACTTGTTTCTGAGAGTGTATCCTTCAACGATATCACCTTCCGCGAAGTTTCTTCTCCGTCATGTCCACCTTTGTCTCAGTCGTAAGCCTCTGCAAGTACTCTTTACGCCACCTGTTCCAAAATTTATTAGTAATATGCTTTACACGCCTCCAGTGTCGCCTGCAGTAAACATCTTCTCTTTTCTGGGGGAGGGAGTATTAGCTTGGTTTTGTGGGTAGGAAGTACGTTTGGCGTTAGTGGCAATGGTGACAGTGAGTCACTTGAGGTCTCAGTGGTGAGAGGGCAACTATTAACAGTTGCTTCAGCTTCACATAACAGAGTTTGCGATGATTCGCTGTCTAAACTGTGATCATGTTGCTTCAAAGGCACTGCCATAATGTTCTGTATAGACCTTACTTGTGGCTTAATTTTTGGCTACAAAAGAGTTGGTACCTTGGTCACTATGAAGGTCTCTTATGGGTCCTTTTCGACAAATAAAAGGACATTAGGCTTGTGGAAATGAATTCTGTTTCCATGGAATGTACCTCTTCAATCTGAATTGCACAGCTAGCCAGGCATGAATGAATGAATAAACTCTATCCTTTTTGCAACCTACACCTGGAACCTCGAAGACTCATTACTGGCATGACCTTACTATCTGTGCAATAGAATGTATGAAGTTCCTTGTGATCTAACTCTTCCTCCAGCATCGTTCCAACTCTTACTGAATCAGTAGCTGCAGTCAGTTCAAGTCTTGGAATAGTCACTATTTTCAGTGGTACTACACGAGCTTTACCCATTACGAGGGAACAATGAACTTTACCATTTTCATCAATTAACCTGAGATGCTTGTTTGTAAGGTTGAGCCCTTATAACAAGCGATTGTTATATTGATTGATTGATTGATTCACCCTGGTAACCAGCTGAACAATTAAATACCACGCAGATGCTGCTTGGTTTTCTGGGGTGATAAACTCCCATGATGAGGTAAGTACCGGACGTTTCCTTCGTGAGGAGCTAGTTCTTCAATATTCACCTTTCAGACATATCTCTTAACGATAATTTCATACTTGAAGCTGGTGTAGTCAGCATGATACTTTGGGTCACCTTGGAGTCTCTTCTTTAGGCTGTGCAGGCATTGCACTGCTTGAAGATGGTCATTTGGTAGTTGGACATTCTCTTCCCTAAACGACAGGGGTATTTCGTGATGCATGTCACCTCTATAGCAGATTCTGTCTTCTACTTTCTTCAGGAACTGACGATCTTCTCTAGGTAGTGCAGTTCCATTTTCCCCCTTTACGTAATGCGGTTCCATTATCCCTTTCAGCAAAGTCCAACTCAAACATCTGTAAGACCATTGAGGCGTTAGCTGTTCTTCGATCTTTCTTTCAGCAACAATGTATTTGTTCACTTCATCATCTGTGCTCCTCCTGAGACCCTGAATTCGGTTGCAATGTACTTGTTTGCTGTTCCTATGGCTTGCAAGAAAGTTGACATTTCATCCCAATGCTGATCGTACCACATAAGACTTATCCTCGTTTCCAATAATATAATAAAAATATCTCTCAGCCTCACAGTGCTGGGACAGTTCAGACCGATGAGAAGTCCTATTTCTATATGTCCTCCATCAGCATTATCAAGGAGAGCGTACAGGCATATCTTGTTATTTGTTATTTATCCGGCCTCCAGTTGTAATCATGGAGTGACATTGGGTGTTTCCTATTGCATATGTGGCATGATCTTCTACTCTCGCAAAACTTGGCGATGTGTTAAGAACCATAGCAATCAAGCATAAACATTCATCTCTAACAAGGTCTCTTCACTCTACTACTCTGCTCTTTGTAGTGGTGCCCTTTGGAGCGCAAGATACAACTGATGGGATAAGAATTTTTTTCGGTGCCATTCTTTTCTGAGAGGCCTGTTGCAAAGTTTGTACGCCTTCCTTTCCTAGTCTTGCCTTAGCCCAACTTGCAGTACTCGTCAATTGTATCTTTTGGTCCGCTGATGCCTTCCTCTGAGTAGACTAAGTCTGTTGCAAAATCGGCTTGTTTGGACACAAACTGGCAGACGTTATTGAAGTTGGCTGCCTGTCCCTTGTTACTCCTAATCTTGCCAACTCTTTCCGTCCATTTGTTGCCAAGGTATCTTGGCAGGTTTTCCGAAAATTGGCGCAGAACATTGGCTGTGTTCAAGTCATTTATGTAATGAATGCCTGTTATGGTGTTTCTTGCTTGCTCAAGGGCAATAGGAAACTCTTGAAGCCCTGTTCTGTCGTTACGTTTCACGGCAGGTCAGCTCGATAGTCTTGTGATGCATGCACTTGCAACCTTCGATGTGTTTCTGCAAAAGTCATCCAGCCACTTCGTACGAATCTTCACTCCTCATTTGTAAACAGCCCTTAATCAGTACCTTTGCCTTTCCACTAGTGTATTGACCCAAGAAATACAAGCGCTCACTAGGATTATCTACCAGTCCGGGCCATATCCATTTCTGGATACTTGATGACGTCACCAATACGGATGTCGTAGTGGGACCTCGAGGAAACCCATTCATTACTTTAATTCGAGCCCTAGCGACTTTGTTTCCGAGCCATATCCCATGAAACCTTGCAAAAGTACAGAAGACAAGTAATCACACACAACAAGCATACAATGGATGGCGGTCGCGTTGACAAGACAGAAAAATTCAGTTGAAAAGTCGGGTGGAGGTGCTTGTTGCGGAGGGCTCGATCAAGGAGTAACACCTCTTTAGTTGAGGTTTTCAGGTATGCAACATTTTTTTTGATTCTTAAAAAAAATCTTTTCAAAAACTAGAATAAATTTGCTTTCAATTTGTCAAAATTCCAATCGAGTGCACGAGGTTTTTGCTCGAGTGCACGGATGTTGAAAGTCTATTAGTGTGCTAACTACCAGGCGGATTCCTTTGTTGAGATCCATCGGAGTATCGTGTAAACCATAAATTTTAACCATACTTTGTGGCCGGGCAATTTAAAGTAAAATGACAATTATTTATCGGACCTTTATAAGCCTACATTGTGAATTTCAGATCAGGCCAACGGCATGGATGAACACATTCAGTATCTGGAGACACTTTGTCGTCTTTGTGGCACAAATCTGCCGCGGACCAGGGTCAGTGCTACAAACAAAGAATCTTTCAAATCGGAGCTCTGGATGAAATTTCGAATTAATGTCGATCTCGACAGCCGAGAGATTCATCCATCCTCTATCTGCACGGGGTGCAAGCGATTTCTGTATAGAGTTCGCACAGTTTCCGATCCAGAGGAAGTTGCCAAAAAGAAGGAACCACATGTGTGGAGAAGCCACACTGAGGACAATTGTCCTTGTAGGGCCAGCAAATCTAAAGGAAAAGGGCGTCCCCGTAAGATTTCCAAACAGCCCTTGGAATGGAAAGCAACAGAAACTTGTGGAAGCGAAACCGAAAGTGGCGAGGACAACGAATCAGAGGGGGAAAAAAAGTATTGTCTGGGGTTCAGTGCCGTTATGCACAACATTGTGTTGATGGAAAAAGAGGAAGCAGTTACATGTGCCAGAAAGCTGGCAGAAAACTATAATTTCATCTTCTTGGACAGAGATAACATGCTACATGAAATAAATAAGCTAAGTACTGAAGATAGACTGTTGCTTACTTCAACTATTTTTCGCTCAGAAAAGGAAAATGTGAAAACTGACATCTTGTCTTGTAATCAAACATACAAGAATCTAACTTCTATGTTAAATGTGACCCCTCATACATGGATTCAGGCCAGAAACTCAGTTTTGACATGTGCAATCAATGCCCTTAGCCACGAAAGTGCCAAGCCAGTTCATAAGGCAGTAACTGTCGATCAGCTTTATTCTATTGTGCAACCCTCTTTTGTAAGCCCATTGATGTTTGCTACAAATCTCTTGGTATACTCTGTGACACGTAGTAAACTTGCCCTTAATATCCATGGTAAGATCCACCCCGCTGGAGGAAACACCACTGTCAAAACCTGGCTAAATAACTTAACAATGGAAGTCCCTCAAGTTCCCTCTGGTGATATTCTGACAGCTATTGACAATGACCAGGTGCTTATTAGGAAGTGGACTGTGCGTAAAGATAACACTGTGTGGCACCTGTTTATCCCAATGGAACATTGCAGTTGGATTCAAATCTTGCTCCAGGGTAAGAAACTCATTTGAAAAAATGGTCAATTAGTTATTGAATACACAAGGATTTGTTTTGTTTAATGAGCACAATCTTGGACAAGTCATTTCCTTTCCGAAATTGTTGCCAGCATATTTGAAGGTCATGTATATGTAATCAATTAAAATGTGCATACATTACCATATTAAGGTACAGTAAATTTGATAGACTATAACTTTCAGTGTTTTTCGTCTTTTATTTTTATCAAGTATTTAACAGTTATTCCTTGAGGTTAAGCATGATAGGGAGAGGTTTGTGCTATCAGCCAAAAACTGAGGCAGATAACACAAATTATTCAGTAGTTATTGTTTTATTAGGCATAAACTTGTAAAAACAAGAGCACATACAAGAAACTAACCATGCTAGGTCAACTTGTAAACAACTCAAAATGTAAGCTTAAAATTTTGATGTTGCAGCACATTCCACAAGTTTCCAGAATTGAGATAGCGATACCAAGTACCGGTATTACTAATTTGGCTCTCTCTTTTAGAGCGTGGTACAACCGCATTGAACAAGCCAAGACATGTCAAGATGAGCGGGAAAAGCTGGCAAAGGCATGTTCAGATTCAGAACCTGATAATGAAATAATCCGCCAAGAGGTAATTATACATTTGAAATTACAGGTGTACAAGAAAGGTCATCTTCTTGTAGATGTAGTTTACAATTAGGAAAACAAACACTAGGAGAAAAAAAACATTGTGCAAATTTGAGGCTTAGCCAGCAAATTATGGATTATACTATACCTGTTTTAAGGACAGGCCTACTTTTGTGAACATGTGTAAAGTTAAAAGGCAATTCTTTCAATTGACTATAACATTTTGTAATTGAATTTTTTTTGTTGTACTCAGAACAAACGACTAATCCATGAGTTACTTCAGGGGTTACTTAAAGAGCAGACAAAAACTGGGGATGTGTGGCAAGATGATGTTGACATCAGAGTAGATGACATTAAAGCCAAAGAAGGAAAGCGTGTTTGTCCTGTATGCCAAACAACAATGGATAGGAACAAAAGAAAATGTGTAAATATAGATTGCAGGGTGAGCCTGAAAGATGCTGAGAAAGAACTTCAAGGCAGTGACATCCTAGGTACTGCACTGGTTGCCCCCATCCGTCAGTACCGACAGAGAGTGAGAGAAACACAGCTGGGATTCATCATTGATCAGAATGAGGAGGCACATGTCATTGTAAAAGAAACATTTTCTGAGTGTTATGATGAATTCCAGCATGTGCCATCAAACCATATTGATCATCCAGTCAACATTGTGACAAGTGATCCTGTATTTGTAAATCCAAATTCTCCGAATGCACTCAAGGAAGTTTTACGTAGAGTTGGCATGGCTGCAAAGGTGAGGCGGTATCATCCCAATGATCCAAATGCTCGGCAATGGCTTAATGTTACCATGGATGGTCTACCTTACCTTGTGTGCAGGAGAGTGGTCAATGATGTGTTCCTCTGTACAGAACGTGGTGAGGAGGTCATGGAGGAAAGTGTGAATGAACATTGCATTAAAGTTCATCAAGGACAGAAATGCAGTGCTGTAAAAGAGTTTGACTGGGTGGTACTTCGTATTGGAAAGCTTCATCTAGAAATGAACATGGCAAGACATTTCATTGATTTAAACTGGGATGTCTTTGTTTCTAAGCTTGCCAGTGAGCTTGGTTTTGTTTCTGATGCTGCTCAGAAATTTGTCAAAAAGGGTTCAGACCACCACAAGACAATGTCTATCCTGAAAGTTGCTCACATTGGTTTGTGGAAGGAATTACTCATTCCATACATCCGGGATAGGCTTGACGGTGGATCTGCAATGTCAGTTAATGACTACTTGTATGACTGGATGCCTAATGTTGGCTGGAAAAATGCCACCTACAGGTACATCTTTGGCATGACCTGGACGTATTTAATGGCTCTCTAAGTTTTCCGCATGGGCATCAGGAGAAATAATGCTGCCTATGTAAGAGCAGGGCAGATGACATTTGCTACTGTATTTCATAGAAATGTAGTGTCTAAGTATGCTTTGATTGACCTGTATGACAGGTAGGTAAATGGAAACTTTTCTTGATTGTTTTTTAAACTTATATATATGTACAATAATATATAACAAATATTGAAATTTTTTAGTGGTCAGCTCCTTTCATTCTTCTAAATGAAAGGCCTCCCATCTCTGAGTCAACAAGCAATTACATCCATGTACAGCTGACATGCTGACTAATTTTACACCTAACAACTGTTCATTAAGTCATTACCATTTTTCTTTCATTATTGTAGTGTAGACCGAGCTTGCTACCCAGAAGAACTGACTGTATTTGTGCAGAATACAGAGGCAGTTAGTACATCAGGGAATGAAAGCAAGGGTGAAGACATGGATGCTTGCCTTGAGGAGAAAAACAAGGAGTCAAAAGTGTGGCAGCCTGGCACCATGACTGCATTGGATTGGCTGAGGATTTTCAGAAATCTTGGAAATCTTAGCAAGGTATAGTGTATGCAAACATTTGTTTGTTTCACTTTTTGGTGTATTTTGAAACGGGCACAAATGATATACATGTACTTAATTTATAGTTACTTCAACATTTAAAAGCTACTAAAGAAGGGCAAAAAATATCTTTGTAGTTCATTATCTTTTGTACATAACATTGTGAATCATTGCTAAGAGTTAGTAAAAGCATTTATCTCCAGGTTACTTGGTTTTCTTCTCTCCTAAAATCCTAAAACTTTTTAAACACGAATTTGGTCTGATTCAGAAGACCTGCTTGAAACTATCTGTGAGTAGTTTGGATTCCTCTTTAAATACCTCATTTATTTTATTTATATTTAGGTGAGAAATTGGCTTTTCTCCCTGCTTGGATTGCATAATCCCAAGGATGAAGCATTGGACTCAAGAAGAAAGCATGATTTTGTAGATGAAGTGCTAGCATGGCGCATAAAGTTACGAAAAGAGAAGTAAATGACACAATACATTTTAGTATAAGCTATTCAGCTCCAGTATGTAATAGTAGTGGTGTAAATTAAAGAGCAATTCTCAATGCAATAGTTGGTTCAATAAGTTTATTTCACTGCTTTTCCTTCAAAGGTATTTGCAAGGAGGGTTGTCAAATGTTGTAACATCCTTGGAAGGCCCTGAACTGGACAGTGATTTGAAAAATTATGAGGAAATTCTTAGAAGGAACAGAAGCAACTTGCTTCATACACACTTCATTGATGGCAAAAAAAGATCAGATACCCAGTTGCAAGTGCTATATGTAACTACAGAAGACAGAGCTTTGGCAGAAGACATAAGGAATGCATCCAAAGATGAAATCTTCAGGAGAATAGCTGAAAAGCTTCTGCTGCTCACTGATGAGGAGACAAGGGAGCCTCTGTCAAGCAGATTTGGAGCTATCAAAGCACAGCCCAGCAAAGTTAAAAAGGAAACTCTTGTTTTGTTGTACAATGAGATTGTGGAAGAGCTACAGAACCAAGAGACACAGGAAGAGGTGTGTATCCTTGACACCATTGAGGAAGATAGAGAAGCTGATTGCAGCACGAACTGATTTATTTCTATGTCAGTTAATGTTAGTTGACATTTACGTGTAGGTCTGGTACAATTTCATATTTATTTTATTGTACCCCATGAAACCCTGGGTAAGATTGTTTGTAAGGTGAATTTCAATGCCCAAGCTCTGCCACTGATTTTACAGTGGTAAGTCAACAGTGCACTGATTTGAATAATAAGGATTTGGTAAGATTGTTCCTTTTCACATAACTGTAGGTGACTCAAAATCTAACTGGCTAGGTAATGTAGCAGTTTTCAGTTTTTGACAGTGTTAAATTAGAAACAATGGCAATTTCAGGAAACCCAGTATTTGTGAGAGTATGAGACATGAGAAAACATTTTAAGGGTTGGTTTCATGTAGAAAAGGAGAAAAAAAAGAACAAAATTTTACTTGTGCTTTTCTTGTGCTACTATCTATATACATATAATGTACAAACAGTACATGGCTGTATTTCATGCAAATAGGTTTAAATATACATCCTGTAAGAGGTGTAATTTTTAATGTCAAGAATTAAGGAAAGCAGAAAAAAATACTTAGTAGGCTCAGATGTAAATAATAATTATATTAAATGTAAATCGTGTACAAAAGACATTTCATGTGCTCAGTATTATTTTCAATATTTTGCGGTGTGGTATTTATAATATAATATAATAATTCTGACCTAATTAAATTGATTGATTTTATTGACTTAATTATTTAAAACAGGAACCTTTCTTATAAAGTCTTCAACATCACGTGTGGCATGAATTCCAGGGGTTTATCCTGGGGCTCGGGTTGGAGAATAAATTGCAACCCCTATGTTTATAAAACAAGAAAGAAAAATGCTACAGTTGAAAGTTCAATATACATGTGCATCACCTATCCCCAAACGTCCACCCCTAATGTTATTAACAGTTTATGACAGTGTTTTCATCGGAGACAAAGGTGATTTTGCTTTGTAGCTGGATTGGGGGCACATCGCTTCTCTCCTTGTCATTTAGATGCGGTTTTGGCTTGTTTAGAATTAACTCCTGAACTGGAACGGGTACCACAGCTTCTGAAGATCTATACGACAACCGTCTTCTAGATTGGGTATTGTTTTCAATGTCCCTAGTTTCATGCCCCAGTACTTTAGCCAGCCTTGGATCTAGACTGACACCCTCTTGTGTTTTGTCTAGTGGTTCAACGCTGGGGATTTCTGAGTTCCTGGGATCCGCCATAGTTACGCCATCATAATTGTGGTCTGCTTGTGTAGGGCGAAGTAGACCCTTATTGTAAGTATCCAGAATAGCGTCCGAACCACATACAAATCGTTGTCCGTTGTGTTGGTCAATTATCATGAGTACTTCTGCTTTTGTCATGGTATGAAGCTTCAAGCCTTTGCTGAACAGCGTGGATTTCCGCTTGTACAATGTACACGACCTGGCGTGGGATTTTTCCACATAAGCGATTTTTTCTTTCGTCCGACGTGACATTTTTTTGCCTA